CAGAATATGGAAACAACCCACATGGTCCAGAAGAGACAATGGATAAAAAACTGTGGTATGTTTACACAATGGAATAATGTTCAGCAATCAAAAGGGATAAAACTCATGCCACTTGTGGCCCCATGGATGGAACTGGAAGGGATTATGCTAGCTGAAATTAGTCAGAAGGAAAAAGATAAATACTGGATGGTCTCATGTATATGTGGAGTATAGAAAAAACAAAATATCAAGGAAAAGTCAAAACTAGCAAACGGACCATAGTACTGAGCCATATAGCAAAGGAGACGGGGTGGGAGGTTTGGCAAAATAGGGGTGGGATGAACAAGGGAATATGGTGATGATTTATGGGTGATATGGTAGACTACAACAATGTAAGGGTAAAAAACATTCCTGAACCAACAAAACTATATATAATAAAAATGAATAAATGTTGGTTTATCTTTTAGGTAAGGAACTACTGAAAGAATGCCTTGGGAGGTACAAACGTAGTAGATGCTGATCATCTACTAGAGAATGTACGTTTAAAATGGTAAATCAACAGAGAAGTATAGTGGAATGCAAGATTATGCTAGACAAATAAGAGGAATATAGGTGATATAAAAAAGTAGCTAGTTCAGATTCTTTTAGACTTTACCAAGCCCACTCTAGGAGACTGGGAGCTAACTAGATGTTACAGAATGTCATGAGTGAGCCATTTCCCTTCCAGCCATTTCCCTCTCCCCCCTTCTTTGAGGACTCTTGTGATAGTGAGTGTCTTGTCTTGAGTCAGCCAGCATTCATAAGGAGAGACATGTGAATTCAACTATGAGAATCTGGGAAGGACCATCAGAAAGACTTCTAAGTTCCATTTACATTTATGTTCCATGGTTAGAGTGGGGAATTTGTCTCCTTGTGTGTAAAAGTGCTAAAGGTCTTTTGTCAGGCCTCGGCAGAAGGTTCCGGCAAACATTGTAATACACTGAGAGCACCTAGATGTCACAGAGTGGTCTCAGAGTCCTGCTAGGACTAGCTGGCTGTCCTGCACACCTGCCTCACTCTAGAGTGGCCACTTTGTGAAGAGTTTTAGCAGGGAAACCATGGGGGATAGAGAAATGGCCATTGCCAGATTTCGGTAGGATCTTGTGAAAAATACGGTTTTCTAGTATAGTGGGGCAGAGGGGTGAAAATCAGAATTACTCACTCACAAGCCTGTTTGTGGGGAGAGGGAAACTTAAGATTATTTTTTTTAACCATGTTAAGTTATTGTAACAAGAGATACATGTGGAAATTATTAACCATTTCTAAACACAAATTTATAATTAAAAACCAAGGTAAATAGGACAAACTCAAGAGACCAGGGTTAACCCAATTGGAGTATCCTCACCTGAGCACTTATGACTACAGAATACAACTCAAAGCAGACATAACAGAGTGAAAAACCAGTTACAGGATTTATTTGAACAAGGAGAAAGAGAGAGTTCACAAGTTGGCACATGACCATCTGTCCTGCCCCCGATAGTGTCCTCTGAGCAGACCCCTGAGGTTCAAGTCAAAACCTTACTTGGAAAACTGTCAGTTTCTTTGTAGACACCCCTCCTTATCAGTAGTCTACATGCCAAAGCCCCAGCAGCTTGCCTGGAAAACCTCAGCTCAGGTCCACCCCAGTTTTCCTTCAGTTCTCCCCTTAGAGGGTAGACTTTGGAAAGCTCTACCTTTGACAATCCAGATGACTCTGGGCACCGCCCACTGATTTAGAGGTTGCTTCTCATGGTTCTTCCTCTTAAAATGTCCTCACTTTCTCTCACCTTAGAAACAATTCTTGTTTCTATGGTGATGAAAGTCAGATGTCTGGATGGTATGGTGCAGCCTTGGACCACAGTCTTCTCCCTGACTGTGGTGTACACAAAGGAAAAGGGAACTGGTCATTGTCCATGCACAGCCAGTATAGTAAAGTTTGTCATTTCGAGAAGTTTCAATCAGTCCAATCCAAAAAGGGCTGGGGGGGGGGGGCGGACAATACTTTTAAGAGAGATTACTATTAAAATTACTCTGTCTTTATTCCTATTCTATCAACTAACAGAGCAAAATGCATTTGTAAACTAAGTCTAAATCCAGTCTGTCTGATCTACTTTTGCAAAAATTCATAGGCTAGAATAACCAAGTCAAATTTCTGTTGGCTTTGTTGGAACTTTCCATCAGGGATCTTAGATTGAGCTCTTGACATTCGACCTGTCCAGATCTCAGGAGCCACGCATAGGATGGTTTCACCAGATTCCACCTGTAGCATTTGTACTTTTGGGGTGATCCCCTCTTCTCAGGGTTCCCAAGGCTTTTCCCTGTTCTTCAGACCTGCTTACCTGCCAATGTAGGTATGCTTCCCTACATTCCTTTGTGGAAGGTCTCTGGAACCCTACAGGCAGGGTGGTGAGCTCTATTCTTGTCAGTTCTGCTCTGTCTCAACTTCCAGAAGGTCTCAACTGTCACACACCAGTCAAAACAGGGATAATGAATGTATTCCTATTTCTAGTTCTCTTTTTAAGGTGAAATAAAATTATGCAAAAATAGTCACATTGTCACAAGTAATAAAAATAACTGCCATTTTTATATTTTACTTTGTTATCAAGGAGAGAGAAAATGTAAACATGATTTACTTGATACAAAGTATAATTGAATATTGGTATAACTCATGGTCAGTTAATAGAAACGATTTTCTTTGAATCAGAAACAACCAAACAACAACAAACAGTAGCATTTCAGACAAAGCCATGTTAAATTAATTCAGTTCTCTGTAAGGAGCCCTCACTCTTGAGTTTTGTTCACGGTCATGGGTCTTGAAATATTGTCACAATTTTTCCCCAATTAATTTCTCCAGAAACAATTTTGTAAGTGTTAAAACTTTTTCTTTTTTTTTTTTAAGATTTATTTATTTATGCATACTGGCCTGAAGTACAGGCCAGAGGTGCAGGGGGTGAGAGGATTCAGCGGAGACAGAGTAGGGAGCAGAACAAGCAGATGGACTGAAATACACTGCTGAGGGGAGCAACGGGTGGGTCAGGAGAGGTCTGCCACGCCATGTGGGTCAGTTCCCTAGCTGGGAATCAAACTCCTGCTGTAGTGTCTGCGGATAGCTTCATAGTGCTGCCCTTTAACCCACTGTGCCACCGGGGGGGGGCCCCTATAAATACTCAAACTCTTGAAATGACCCAAACTAATGACCTGATGCTAACATAGTTGACAAGGAAATATCTGTAAGTTTTAATTTTATTTCCAGTTTTGCAATATGAAAGAGGATTATAATTGATAGGAGAAAATTAAAATACCTCATAATCCTCTTAAAAGCTATCACAATTTTTATTTTTACTTTTTGCCTTTGGTTCCCATATATAATTTTTAAACCAGTTTGCTCACTAATCAAAAGTATTATATATATATACATACACATATATACTTGAATATATATATATATTCAATCTTAAAGATTGAAGAGAGTATGAGTATCTTATCTTGGGGTTTGGTGAAATTCTGAGTTGATCTAAGAGAACATGGTAGGAAATGAGAAAAAATAATCCATGCAAAGGAGAGGGCCACTGGACCTTTTACCCTGTTCCTCTAACCACCCACCCACATCCCCACTCCCCATGTCAGTGAGGAAGAGTCGAGGCTTCTAAGGGCCCTGAATCTAATATAACCATGCACCATGCAACTGATGGCCTAGAGAGGTGGGAGCCGATTGTGACAGCGGGAGGTGGACTTTTGCTGGGTCACATCAATAACGGGAAGTCATTCACACTCTCCAGTGAGCACATGAGGCTATTAGAATTTTTCTACTTCTACTTTTAATGATTTTTTTTTTATTTTTTTAAGATTTATTTATTTATTCATACAGAACTGGGGTTACAGGCCAGAGATCCGGAGGGTGAGAGGATCACCAGAGACAGAATGGGGAGCAGAACAGGCAGATCGACGAAGTACACTGCTGAGGGGAGCAGCAGGCGGGTCAGGAGAGGTCTGCCACGCCATGTGGTCACCTCCCGGGCAGGCGGGAATCGAACTCATGCGGAAGCGGCTTTAGATTCTCAGTGCTGTGCTTTAACCCGCTGCGCCACCAGGGAGGGCCCTTAATGATTTTTTAAAAATATTTATTTTCATTTATTTATTCATACAAGAACTAGAGTCTAGGGCCAGAGGTGTGGCGGGGTGAAAGCATTCACCAGAGACAGTGGGGAACAGAACAGGCAGATTTACTGAAATATACTGCTGAGGGGAGCAGTAGGTGTGAGAAAGGACAGGAGAGGTCCATGGGCCATGTGGATCAGCTCCTTGGCCAGGGATTGAACTCATGCCACAGTGGCTAGTGATAGCTTGATAGTGCTGAGAATTTAACCCTTGCACTACCATAGAGGCCTCTTTTATGACTTTTGTATTAATTACAGAGATTCAGATGGTACAGAAAAGCTTCTAATCTTCTTGGATATCAGAAGAAACCTAAGAATTCCTTTCTTGGGTGGCCATGTGGAACTGCTAATCTGAGTCATGGATTTTGAGGGCCTCTTTGTTCAGGGTCAGGCAGAGAACCCGGGAGCCATCATTTGGGCTTGAGCAGGACTGAGTAGAGGGGGAGGTGGACTTCTTTTACTCAGTGATCCCTTTAGAGATAAAGTTCACTGTCCTAAAAGGTGAACATATTTAAAGCCCATCAGTTAATATTTAAGGTACAGAAGGAGCAAGAGTGTTAGAGAGATACCTTAGCATCTTCCCTCCCTTCAGCTCCCTGGAAGTGCCTAAGTGGGTAACCTCATTTACTGTTGTTCTCGCATCCCCTCCCTCTCCTATCCATGGCTTTCACTTTGGTACCAACATTACTGAACATTGAACACAGATTAAAAATGTGAACTCATGGGGCAGGTCAGTCAGTGCCAGCTTCAAACAGGCAGCCATTGTCTGGGACTCCCTGTTGTGACAGCTACCCCTCTGACGGTGTTCATGGTGTGTGCCTCTCTGTCTTTTCTCTTGGCCCCTAGGGTTCTGGCTGGTGTGGACTATCATCATCATCTTGAGCTGCTGCTGTGTCTGCCACCACCGCCGAGCCAAGCACCGACTTCAGGCCCAACAGCGGCAACATGAAATCAACCTGATTGCCTACCGGGAAGCTCACAATTACTCAGCGCTGCCATTTTATTTCAGTATGTATACCCAGAGCTACCAAGCCCCACCTTCAAGAGCCCAGAATGCACAGACTTGCTCCATGGATAGCAGGAGCTCCTGTGGGCCCCCTTGTCTAGCAAAGAGCAGAGTCTTAAAAGTACTGAAGGGGGCATTCACTGTTAGCACAGAGGAGCAGGTGCCATGGATGCCACTTCCAGAAACCACTGGGCTGTTCCAGTCCAACACTGGCTGCCGTTCACCAAGTCCCTGTTCCTTTAGCAGATTATTACTGAGGTCAATAGTCAAATGATACATGATGTGAGTGACTTGACATTTAGAGTCCATAATCCTTCAGTTTTGCTTACTACCCTATGATATGCCTGAGTAGAGCGTGCTATGACATGGACAGGTTTGGGGGAATGATCCAGGGGCTTCCTGAGAACCAAGAAGATTGGTGACTCACTGAAGGATTCCCTCAGACAGCTCATCTCTCAAGTAGTCAATGCAGCTGAGCTGTGCAGTCATCCTGCAGTGTTTCTACAATATGTAATGTCACCAGTGTGGAACTCAATGTAGGAAAGGGTAAAGTTCTTAAGACAGTGCCTGGCGTATAGTATGTGCTCGATAAATGTTAGCAATTAATGTGTATGATGAGGTTATCAGCATACTGACCTGGATGACTGGCTTCTTTCTTTGCTGGGAGCCCAGTGCTTTTGATCGGAGTCAGGATAAGGTTTGTCTTCTAGCCCACTCACTTGGATCGTGTGTCTCTCACCAATTTCTAACCTTTCAGAAATGGGCCCTGCTATTTAGACTTGGAAGGGCTGGGAAAAGAAAAGGTGGCCAGGAAGTCTCCAGGTAGGGTCTCTGAAGTCTGTGGGACTTAGATGGAGAACAGAAAGTGAGCAGTAGCATGAGAAACATGGAAACAAGACCTTTGGGCAGAAATGCTCTCTGGCCATCCAGCACATCTGCCTGTCCCTCTGCCTTGACTCCAGACAGCCAAAAAGTCCTTGCCTGCACAATAGCTTAGGTCCCTTCTATGTCAGGAAGCTGGATTAGTTCCCTTCCATCTTTTCCTCTCTCAGCAAAGTTGTCTGCGGCCCCCTACCCTACTTCTTAACTGCGTATGGCCCCATGCCTACTGCCAAGAGTTGTAGCTGTCACTTGGTGGCTAAGCTGGGGGTAGGGAACATATGTTTGGGGTGAGGTGCAGTCTTCCCTGGAACAATTGCCAATGCAGTAATTTCTCCTCCCTACCTCCCCATTTTAGGGTTTTTGCCAAACTATTTACTACCTCCTTATGAGGAAGTGGTGAACCGACCTCCAACTCCTCCCCCACCATACAGTGCCTTCCAGCTCCAGCAGCAGCAGCAGCAGCAGCAGCAGCAACAGCAACAGCAACAGCAGCAGCTGCCTACCCAGTGTGGCCCTGCAGGTGGCAGCAACCCTGGCACCCATCCTACCAGGGACTCCCAGGGGGTGCAGAGCAGCCCCTTGTCTGGGCCCAGCAGAAGCAGCACAAGACCCCCTAGCATTGCTGACCCTGAGCCCTCCGATGTGCCTGCTGACCCAGAAGCCACCAAAGCTCCTGGAATGGAGCCCAGCGGCTCTGTGGCTGGCCTAGGGGAGCTGGAGCCTGAAGCCTTCACGGACAAGGATTCTGAGTGTAAGGAGGAGCTGCTGAAAGATGACAGCTCTGATGTGGGCAGCGTCCTCCCCGACAGCAAAGACAAGACACCTGGCAGACATCGCCGCTTCACAGGTGACTCGGGCATTGAGGTGTGTGTATGCAATCGGGGCCACCACGACAGTGACCTTAAAGAGTTCAGTGCACTCATTGATGATGCTCTGGATGGACCCCTGGATTTCTGTGACAGCTGCCATGTGCCGACCCCTGGAGATGAGGAAGAAGGGCTCTGCCAGCCCTCACAGGAGCAAGACCGAGAGCCTGGCCACCCCCACCTACCACGGCCACCTGCGTGCCTGCTGTTGAACACCATAAATGAGCAGGACTCCCCAAACTCCCAGAGCAGCAGCTCCCCCAGCTAGAGCAGGCTCTGCCTGAACCTGAGAACATGGCAAAGCATCCAGGGTGGAGAGAACCATGAGAGAAGCATTAAATGACTTTCAGAGAAAAGTGGCACAGCCACTTTGTTCTTTTTTGTTTTGTTTTTTTTTTGTTGTTGTTGTTGTTGTTGTTGTTCCTTCTCTCCTGTGTCTCCAGGTAGAGTTTCATGTGTGGTTGCCTGTCCACACACAGAAACAGTGTCATGGAGAGCTGAGAAGTTGGTTCTGTGACTCATTCCGCCATCCCCCTTCCCTCTTGTGTTATTTCTTACATCCCTCTTGGGGGACAGTGAGGTGTGTGATTTAGGAGTCCTCAAGGATGGGGCTGAGCTGTGTCCTGAGATGACTCTTAGTGATGTAGTAGACTCATGCTTTGGTGTTAGTTTCAGAGAACCTCGGTGTGTCTCAGTCCACGTGAAGAAAGATGCCCATAGGGGCCCAGGGATTGGCACCCCTTTCTGCCATGTGTACAGTGCTTTGACTGGGTTAATCCTGTGGAGGCTGAGAACCAGTGGGCAGTGGCGTGGTAGGTACGCAGTGGGCTTACTGCTCTTACTCTGTCTGGTGACAAGTATGATGTACCACTGAGCTTTTGTGAGCTGCCCCTTCCAGCAGGTTCTGGTTGACTGCAGAGGATTGAGGTGTGGAAGGTTGATTATATTGCCTTTTATGTTTTTCTTCTTTAAACAAAGCAAGCTTAAAACAAGAACTTTGCCAGTGGGCATGCAGGAATTCTGTGCTGGAAAAGGGAAGTCTGTGGCACTTTCCCAGTTTGGCTTTCAAAGATCCAGCTGCACTTGCTCCATAATGAGAGGTATTGTGTGCAGGCTTGACTGGAAACTGTTGTTGGAAGGTCTGTGAGTGTGCTGGAGGCCATCTGCCCCCACACTGGTAGAGTTGCAGCTTTCTGCGTCTCTGCCCCTTGGTCTGCGCCCACAGGTGACCAAGTCCTTCCCCCCTCAAGGACACTGTCTGCTGGCTTTCGTGTCTCCCTGTTCTAAAGGAACAAACAGGAGGCCATGGGTCCTGAGAAAGTGCAGCCCTGAATCCTGACTCACAGTGTTTTCTGGAGACTATACAAGTCATGTTTAAACTGACCACTGGGAAACGTTGCCTGGGTTATCTGTTTTCATGCCCTTTCCCTGCAACCCCTCTCTTTGAGGGGGGCTCTAATTTTCCTAGCCCATGTAAAGGCCAAGTGGCTCAGGTAGGGTGAAGGCTGCCATCCAGAAGGACTTCGAGACCCAGGTAGGTAGTTTGACTGTAGGGGCCAGTTGAGCTTTGATAGTTAATTATCTCAATGGAGGAAACCAACAGTGAAACTAACATTCCCTGTGCAGCCCTATTCAGTGAAGTTTGTTCTTCCTCCATTTTTATCGATGATATTCAGACAAGGCATTGACCTTAAGGTAAAAGAAAAACCAAACTAACTATATCTATATATATCTATATATATATATATATACACACACACACACACAACACGGATACATATATGTACATATCTATGTGTGTGTGTGTGTGTGTGTGTGTGTGTACACACATACAAGTAGACAAAGCTTGGAGGGGAAGGGAATGAGTGTCTGTGTTTGGATTCCACAAAACCAAAATCCATGTCGAACAAAGTGAAGTCCATGTAGTGGCTGTGGACAGCCTGCGCGTGTGTGTCCATTGTGTGTGAGCCCCTGCCCTGTTTTCCTGTGAATATACTTTGAATGGCAGTTATTCTGCTCTGCTTACCACTTGTTGGAGCAAAATGGCCCTCAAGGTAATTTATTTTACACATTTACTGTTTACTGAACAAATGTCTGACTGTGTGCTGGGGTGTATTCAGCAGTAGCGAGGACGGCTGTCCCGTTTTTGTCAGATACTGTGCTCCAAGTAGAGGTTTTACTCTACCCATCATTGCAATTTGCACATTGCTCCGTGGACACTCGGAGGCCTGTGTTCTGTTCTCTAAATGGAAACGTGCTCTGAACCTGTCTGCCTCCCTCAGCTGTTTTCAGGACCTGAGTTTCATTCCCTTGGGGGTGTCTGTAATCTCGGTCAGAAAATGAAGATGGAATTTCAGGCAGAAGATTGGATATTCAGTGATGAGCTTGGTTGAGCTGTGGCCCAGGTGTTGGCCCTGCCCAGAATCACCAGTAGGTTTTGGGAGACAATGCAGAGTCTCAGGGCCTACCTCCCTCCCACCAGCTGGAGTGTGGGGAGACTAGGCGGAAGCCTGAGTGGCCCCTCAGATGCCTTTCCTTCCACCTATGAAGTAAATATCCCAAACAGCTCACTGAAGTGTTTCAAAGGAGATCAAGATTCACCAACAGGAATCCTTCAGTTACCTGGCAAGTGGATGAACTCTGGCCCTCTCAAGTGTCCCTCCCCATTCGAATGGGAACAGGTCTGTGTTAACCATTGACTTCATTCTAGCTTCCCGCCCAACGGCTGATAAAGGAGAATGTGGCGAGTGGAGCGGGACTGGATTCGAGGTCACTGTCTGGCCCCTTCCAAATGAGGCTCCCCTGTGCAGAGAAGATGAAATAGGGAGAGAACTAATTAGGGATTGGAGAAATGTGACTGAATCTGGTGTTTTAGGTAAATGGGTAAGAAGGGGCTGGTGGAGGGTGCGGTGCTACAGTGGGAAGGTTTATTTGCAAATGGTAACACATTCCTGGGAGGCACATCATCATTTGTCAATTATTGTGAATATGTGTATTTTAAGCAATAAGATTCAGCTGGTCAGATTTTCTGGGCAGTCTTGATGACGCATTTCCTGTGCTGTGAGTGTTCTGAAGACGAGTGGCTCTAACCACTGTGAGAAGCCTAAATAAAATAAATCCCCAACATCCTACTGCTGCAGTTTTTTTCTCTTTTCCTCTCCTTAGACGCTGGGGAGTTGCGCCTGGAGATTCAGAACCACAAGTACTTTCCTTTCTCCACACAGAGCCTGAGAGACATCCTAGAGCAGCTGAGGACAGGATGCATGGTCAAGCAAAACTGCAGGCCTGGAGGATAGCTGGGTAAAGCCCACTCGGAGTCCATACTTGGTCCTAGGAATTTCCTCCCCAAATTTCCTCTCTGCCAAGGATGTATTTCTGACATTGTAAAGTCTCACATACATCAAAATCAGACCAAAAGCAGAAGCAAGTTTGTCAGATGCCCTAAGGGTGAAACCTGACATTTCAGAAAAAACAAGTACTCCATGAGCTCTCTTTTCTATCATGCTATGATAGACATGGAAGGGCACTTGGCCTTGGAATAATTCACAAATGTATATTACTGAGTGTCCCCTGCTGTGGTCCATTTGTGCTGGACCCTAAGGGTCACATGAAAGATGTCAGACACAGTTCACGTCCTCAAAAAGTTAATTTCCAGTTAGCAAGACCTAATATCTCTTTGTGGGTCAGTGAATTAACAATAGAAGGTGAGATACAATGGGAGATAGATTCAGACACTCCTGGGGAGTCCTTCGGAGGTAGTCTTGGGTCTTGCAAACCAGCAAACACTCAGAACTGATTTTTAGTCCTTGGGGAGCCAGTGGTAAGTGAGTGATTATTGTACTCTGTTTAAGGTCATCCGCTTAGAGTCAGGGTAAGGCTCTCTCCTAGCCTGTGTAAAGGCCATCTTTTGCCTCTGCACAGGAAGGGAAACATTCTTAGCGAGAAGACTTCTCTTTGAGCTACCAGCAAGCAAGTTGGCAGAACAGGTTGATGTGCCACCTCATAACTGGAGAAGGGTTCCCTACTTAACTTCCTCTAGCAGAACCTTCACTGGTGGGCCAGCAGGGGGTGCTGGAGAGAAACTTCTCTTGTCCCTTGGATTAGCCCAGCAGCCAGCCCTGTCCCATCTGAGAGTATCTGAGCTACCCGGGAAAGGGAGACATGCTTCTACCTCCACCATTGACCCATGACCCCAGGAACACTCTCATTGGGAATTAGGACTAGGGGATGGTGACTGCCTCATTACTTTGAAGTTGTTAGGTTCCTCTTCACAACCCCAGGGGAGTTATATTAACATCTTGGACAGTGTTGATCTGCAAACTCAGGAATGATCTGAGGGAGACGTGACTCTTGTCTTCTTTAAGTTAGTATCTGAGAGGCTCAAAACCAAAATGGCACAACTGTCAGGGTATTTCCACAGGTTGTGCATGTACCTTTGATGTCCAGGTACATAAGCCCCTCACTGAACTAGGGCTCTAGGGTCACCAAATTCTTGATTTCCCTGATGATATGTGGTATTTACTATAAAGCTCCAGGTGATCTAGTTTAGGTTGAGACTATCAGTACCCCAAAATATAAACACCAGCTTTAGTAAACAAGACATTAAACCTGTAATGCTGGGAGTTTCTTAGATTTTCAACACAAAATCAGGATTTAACAGGGAGTAGGATTTTGCTCAGTATTGGCCAAACCAGCTGGAAACTGCAAGTGTCCCTAGACCTGGCTCCTCAAAAGAGCTAATTGCCCAGAGAAGAAGAAAGGGCAAGGCCAGTGTTAGCAGCTCATGGTAAGGACCATGGTGCTGTGAGCACAGGATGCTGGGAACAAGAGTGCAGCCCACCTAGGGGCTCAGGGCAGCCTCCCAGAGTAGGCACCTCTAACTGAGCTGGCCAGAGGGGTAAAAGGAGCTGTGGAAATACTTGTGCAAGTTATTAAGTGTGTACTATGTGCCAGGTGCTGAAAATACAAATTAACTGGAGACTTAAAATAGGAGAGAGTGGATGTCACATCTGGAACTGAGATGAATTTAACCTTTCTGGAGAATTGCATTCTGGAAAGATAGCTGATGAGCTGGAGAGGTAAGGATGTGTTACAAGACTAACAATTTGTCTTAGTTGTCTTACTTATAAAGTGTTCTTTATTTTAAAGATTTATTCATTTATTTATGCATACAGAACTGGGGTACAAGCCAGAGGTGCAGGAGCGGCCAGAGGATTCCCCAGAGACAGTAGGAAGCAAAACAGGCAGATTGACAAAGTATACCGTTTTAAACAATGTAATCTTGAGAAATCAATGTTACAATCATTTGGAAAATGGAGAGCAGCCACTCCATTTTCCTGTTTCATAAATCTTAACCGGAAAGACTTCAATAAATAAATTCTGTGGAACACTGAAGTATAAGGATGACTAGATCATACGCGTGATCATACTCCCTGCATGTGACTTTAAGGATGGAAATAGCACTTGGAGATCATTAGTAAGATGTGGGCCTGGAATCTCATAGAATAAGCCCAGTGATAACTATTAATTTTTATTCATCTTGGGCAGCAACTATGAAGAGTTTATTGATGGGACCTTTGCTAGAGGCAACGTTAATTATATTGTGCACCACAATTGTGAAACTGGTTTTGAGAATTCCCATTAAACAGTCATTTATAAGGTGCAAATACATCATTTTATTTCATTGGGTGTGACTCGTGTTAGGCTAGCCTAAAGTACCCCAGCTGTCAATTGAAAAATTTCTGAGAAGATCTAGGCATGGGAAAAAGCAACGTCCACCGCAGGAGCCCCTGAAACCCCTGTCAGTCCTCACAGGAAGGTGAGCATCGTGAGTCTAGGGAGGTTGCCTGTTGGGCACTGTGAGCGGGATGTAGCAGGTGCTCGATAAAGTTTGTTGAGAGAATGAGTGACCCAGTGAGGAAATGAATGCGCTTCCCCAGGGCCTTCTGAATAGAAGCTGTTCAGTGTATGCACGCCACTGCCATGGCTGGGGAGGGAGGCGGTTACAAGAGGGGAGGGTGGCGCCTGTACTTCTGTGCCCTCTGCTGGAGCCGGTGCCAGGTTCTAGTTGTAGGTGCTGCCCTCAGCCTGAGCCTCCCTCCAGGCTTCTCGGACCTTGATCTTCACTTTGAAATGTTCGATCAGAAAGACCACATTGGGGACACCTTCCAGAGAGGGCATGTGTCCATCGTCTGGGACCTCGAAGTCAAACCTCTGCAGTAACCAGGCCATGAAGAGGAAGAGCTCCTTGCGGGCCAGCATCTCCCCTACACATGTGCGGGGTCCCGCCCCGAAGGGGAAGTAGCTTAAAGATGGTGAGATGAGGTGGCTCCCTGTTGGGTCCAAGAAGCGCTCTGTGGACATGGGGAGGCAGCCATCAGCCAGGGGTCTGGACAGCAGAAGCAGAGGTGTGCCCGTGTCTAGAGGGCCAATGGGGTCCCAGGCTGGGAGGGGTGCAGAGTTACTTAGGGACCCTCAAGTTACCCTCCTCACACACAGGAAGATAGAAAGAGGCTGTGTTAGCAGGTTTGAGTTCCACCACCCAGGGCACAGGGGTGTGTATATGGGGACCATGTGCCAAGAATCTTCTGAGAGGAGAAACTACAGTTTTGGGAAGAGACAGGAGCCCATTGTGAAGTTTGGTTGTTTTAGGGGATTCCTAGAGGTAACAACTGGTATACAAGATTGCAACCCAGAGTTTTCTCATAGTGAGCCAGGCAGGGATAAGCCATTTAGTTGTACATCATAGAGCCCAGGCGGGCTGTGTGGC